TCATTCTTATTTGTCCAGCATTTTTTGCATATTTGTTTTTCCCTTCTGTTCTGCTCATTCCAGATTTTTGTTTTTCTTGCACTTTAATTGAACATTTTCTTGATCTGCACAGAGAGAACAATGATTTAAAAATGCATTCTTATGATTCTGTAGGGAGTGTCTTCAGGATAAGGTCATCTGATTGTTGGAGTTTTCTCTTTATTACAGTATTTATTGAAAATTTAAATGTAATTAAGAAATTATCAAACAAAAAGGGATCTCAGGTTTCTGTACTACATGTCAGAACAAAATCCAAAGTGTCATTAAAGGATTAAAGTGGTGGGTATGTTGTAACAGTGGTAGTAATAAATTAAAAGCAATTTTGAGTCTGTTTTTTTTCAGCATCTACATCAATGTTCAAATAATCCACTATGATAATTTCATCTCAACTAAACGCTAAAGCACATTAAAGTCTGCAGATATAAATTCTCTCTGTCATGGCTCTCACCATGGTTTTCTAAAACCTTAAAAATTTCTTTCTAATCCTTTCCAGACTTATGGATGTCAGTTACTGTGTTTCTAACGGTTTCATTAGAATGAAAATTAAAATTCCAATAAAGTCAACAGAATTAAACGGACTTCACATTTGCGGTGATCTATACATTTACTCTCATTTTTATTACTTACTGTTCATAAAAATATCTGCTCTGCTTTTAAAACATTGTGAAAAAACTAAATTATATTTTTAAATATTGCACAAAAATGTAGCAGCAGATGTTATTTTTTATATTTACTTTTATATTAATGAATGAGTAATAATAATAACATATAAAACTCCCATGGGTCATGTTTCTGTTCTGAAAGATTGAACTTACAATTCTTTAAGTACAGTTTCCTAAATATACTTAAATACTTTTACTCACCCTTTTACTGCAAAACTTTTAATTATATCCTGTTCTGTTTATGCAAAGCTTCTAAAAACGTCGTTCACCACTAGATGGCATGTCTCACCTACTTTATAAATATAAAAAAGACAATGTTTTTATTAGAAGGGCCATCTAAGAATGGACCATCCCCTCTGTGGTTATAGTTAAGCTATGACTTGGGTTTCACATTGCTATGACATGAAATAGCCCATAATTCTTGCATAATTTTTTTCAGTACTCAAAATATTTTTCCCTCTGATCTCCATATCTTCATTCTATGGATGCTGGAAATTAGTTTTTTCTTTATTCAGTTTAAATAAATCGGCAAAATTCAATTTTACATAGAAAGTGAGCAATTCATGAAGACTAAAGTTGAAATTAAAAAATTCACTTTCACTAAAAATGTATATAAATTCCCCTCTTGCCTCTGCAGATTTTTAACTGAAACTTGGTTGGACCAAAGTAACAGTGGAGCTGTTCTCATCGAGA